ATACGCCGGTGGAAAATGAAACCATATCTTTCCTCACCACGTTGTATACTGTCGGGTAGATCGCTAGTCATGGTCTGAAGCCACAAATGGGTCAAACTAGCATCTCCACCCGGATGCTGTACTCTCAGCCATGGCCCGAAGCAGGTTTCTTCAAACAATTTTCTTTGTGCATGTGAAAGCTTCGAAGCAATTGTAGTGGCTAGGCTAACTTTATTCCTTAATGTCAATGAAGCCGAAAAAAATTTCTACAAAAAAAACAATAAACATACCAAGTTAGATATACCAAAAATTACACTGTCAAGATATACCAAAAACAAAACAATAAATATAAATAGTAGTTTATTCTTGAAACTAAAATTTGCAACACTGTTTTGTCTTTTGGTTGAAATGAAATCGCAACGAGATAATGAGAATCGCAACGCGGAAATGACTATCGCAACGAGAGAATCGCAACGCGAAATGACTATCGCGACCAGACAATCACAACGCGAAATGAAAATCGCAACCGCGAAATAAAAAATCGCAACGCGAAATGAAAATCGCAATGTGATTTTGGTTTCGCGTTGCGATTTTTATTTCGCGTTGCGATTATCTCGTTGCGATAGTTATTTCCGTTGCGATTTTCATTCTCGAAACTATTCTTCTTCTGCATTACTTCAACCAAAAGACAAAGCAAAGACAAATACTAACTTCACAGGCTAAACAGTTTAGCAGTATTGGCAGCAATCGAATGAATTTAATAAGAAATCTAAGTGAAATGGTTAATCTATTATTGAAATTACCAGTAAACTTATCATCAATCTCAATATGAAAAACCTAAAATAATGCAAAAATTTCAAAATAAAAATAAAAAAAACTAACCCGGAGGTTGATTTTCTATTTCTGAATGATTGTGAGGGATTTTTGACTGTGAATGGTTGTGAGGGATTTCGCCGGCGATGGGGACGGAAATCTTCGGAGATGGGGACGGATTTCGCCGTAGAGAGTGAGAGATGGAGATGGGACTGAGTGTTGTGTTTTTGGGTTTGAGGTTATGAGTTGCGATTACTGTGGACGGTTCATTTTCCGATTTATTAAGAAAAAATACGTGTTTGGAATTTGAAAAAAAAAATACGCGTTAATACGAATGGCGCTATGTAAATCGCGTTGCGAAAGTCAGTATCGCGTTGCGAAAGTAAGTATCTCGTTGCGATTTTTTATTATCGCATTGCGATTTTCCCAATTCGCGTTGCGATTTACTTATTCGCATTGCGAATTTTCCAATTCGCGTTGCGATTTACTTATTCGCATTGTGAATTGGGAAAATCGCAACGATATTGTAGACCATCGCAACGCGATTTTCAACTATCGCATTGCGAAATGCAACGCGAATTTGCGATAATGGAGATCGCGTTGCGAATTAGCGATCGCATTGCGATTTTGTTGGTCATTTTGGCAAATCCGGAAAAGTTAGTTAAAATCGTATATTATATGTGATTTTTGGTCACTGAGGTTATTTTCTCTTATAATATTGGTGGATTTCAACATAATCGATGATGCCAATACTCAGGGTGTTACTACATCAGTCCAAATTCACTAATTTAATTTATTAGACTGTGATTTAACTGTTACTTCAATAATGCAATGCCTAAGCACCGTAAGTTACTGAAAAAAATATCTGATCTAATTATAATTAATATATAATTTTTGGATTAATCTAAAAATTATATTTTTTAAAAATTAAAAACACATTAATTTGAAACAGTCTCAAAAATTTGAAAACCTTCATTTCAACCCCTAAACCCACGCCGACCGCCAACCACCGCCGCTCGTCTGTTCCTGTCACCACCCAGCCCAATCGAAGCACCTCGCCTCCATGATCAAATTCCCCAAAACAATTCGTGGATAGTCGTCGCCGTTCGTCGGAATCCAACCCTTGAAGTTTCGTCGAAAACACACCCCGACGCCTCGGATTTTAGACGATTCCGACCACCTCGGACCTCCGTTCGCCTCACTGCCACTATTTAGCTTCCTCGTCGCCGTCCGCTCAAAACCCAACGGTGGGTCACGTCGTAGTCGTCGTCCGGCGCCGTGGGTAAGCTTCACTATTAGGATTTGGGCTTTTTTGTAATTTAAAAAAAAATAAGGATTTTTTATAAATAAATAATATTTTTAATTATTTTTGAAAAGGAATTTTTAAATTACCAGATTGTGACATGTGTCACTTAACGGAGAAAACTAACGGTCCGTCACAGCGTGACCCATTCGAAGTTACGAAATATAACGTTAAGCACCAAAATAAAACAAAAAAAATCTTAGGCATTAAACTAAAAAAACAGATATTCGTTGGGCACCTTTTTTTAATATTAAAGCCTTAATTAAACAAAAGATTTATTTACAGCTAAGCTAAGAGTATTGACTGAACAAAATCTAAAATAAAATCTCAATCTAAAAAAAAGTACAATTCATGATTAGTCGTTTTACGTTCCTGATTCGGCGGGGATACATGATACGGCTGATATCCATCGGCTCTTACATAGGATCTTTCCTCTTTATTTTATGTTTGGGTATATTACACATTTTTTTATCATTCAACTCTTTCTTACTCATATTTTGATAATTAAAGTTTAAATTTTATTAATTTAATTATTAAATTTTAAAATTATTTCTGCTTTTATCACTTTACCGTTAAATCACAAAAGTTGTAATGATTAGGGGTGTAAACGAGTCGAGTCGAGGTCGAGTATTACTGAGCTCGACTCGACTCAAAAACCCTGAAATGGAGCTCGACTCGACTAGAAAACTCGCGAGCTTAAAATTTTCAAACTCGACTCGAACTCGAAATCCTGAACTGAATCTCGTGAGCAACTCGAAAATGCTCGAAATGAAAAAAAATCTTAAACTTAACTCGATTGAAGACTCAAACTCAAACTCGAACATGAACCTTAAATACATGAAATCTTACTATATTTTTTTAAAAAACAAATCAATACATAAATATTATTATTATTAATAATTTATTTTTTAAAAATAAATCTTAATATTATATTTTCGATATGCTCACCAGCTTTTCGAGTCGAATATAGAGTAGCTCGTTTAGACTCGTTAAGAACTCGACTCGAGTTGAGTCTATTCGATCCGAGTATTTATCGAGCCTTGATCGAGTCGATCTCGAGTAGCTCGTGATCTATCTCATCTCATTTACGGCCCTAGTAATGATATGACTCATTTTATTAATAATTGCGCCAACATAAAATTAGAGGAGAAAAGTTAAATCCTTATCTCAATCTAAACTTCAAACTCTCATCGATCTCACCTTTGCCTCAATCCACAAACCTTCATCAGCAAGAACGCAAAGCTGGAAACACACCGCGGAAAGATATTTAAATTTTTTAGTTTTGTACTATTTTATGATCGTTAGACGATATAAATCAAATATAGATCTTTAAATGAAAATGAATGTTGGAGCAACGATCATCAGAATTAACCAATGTCATAACGTTTTTAAAACGAAATATCGAATTTAAAAATAATTATGACTGCCAGATTGAGAAATGAGACGAGAAGAAGTCAAACCTGCAGAATTTTGCCCCACGCTCAGTGTTCTGGTTGACTCAGAAATGCTTACATTGTTCAATGCTGTATTTCAAATCAATTGAATCAGTAAGGTATTATAAGAAGAGAACTGTTCATTTTCAAAACCAAATTACCTAGGACAAGCAATACCAGGGTGAATAATGAGCTGAGCAGTGAAACTGATCGAATTCGATTTGATCAAAATTTACTTAACACTCGATTCGAGTTCGATTGGAGACCTTAACGAATTAAGTTCAGTAAAATTCAATTAGACTCAATAAGTTACGAGTAATTCGTTAAATTTTTATAATTTTATTAGTTTGGTGATTGCAAAAGCAATGAATAGAGTGAAGAGGTGTTGATTTTCTTATTTTTAAGATTGATTTTTATCGTTGAACTTCTTTTTCTTTTTCAATAATTTTTTAATATGCTAGTTGATGTATTTTGGATTATTACTTTAGTTTAATATGTTAGTTTGATGTATTTGTGGATTGTTAATTCAGAGTTTAGATTTTGAAATTGATTCATATACTCTTTTAATATTTTTTTAGTTAAATTTGTTAATTTATGTTTATAGTAAGCTCTATATAGTATTAGTAGATTTAACCTATAAATAAAAAATATATTAAAATCTCTAGTGAGCTTAACGAGCAACAAGTCGAGTAGAGCAACAATTTTTTAACGAGTATAAATCGAGCAAAATTTAATGAGCTTAACGATCAACAAGTCGAGTTGAGCAACAAAATTTTTTAACGGACACATAGTTAAATACTAACCAACTCACAATCGAGTCGCTCAATAAAAGATACAAATTTAATGAATTTTGAGACTCGTTGACTATTATCGATGGTAATCGGAATGATAAACAGTACACTGATCAACATTTAAATAGATTCATTGAAATGAATAAATATAAAAAATTAAAAACAAACTTTACAAGATTTTTTTAAAATAAAAAAGTCATTTTGATCTGAAAATCACTTTTTGTAGAAGTCAAAAGACTTCATTTAGTGTCGCATCCACCGTTTGTTATTTAAGGATCGAGTGATAAAAATGACACAAGTTAAAATGACGTGATTAAATTGAAAATTGTTAAACTTCAATTACTAAAATAAGAGTGAAAAAATTGAATGATAAGAAATTGTAATTATCCTTCATATATAGTAGGATAGTTCATCGGGGCTTGACCTTCCTCATTTCATTTGCCGATCCCATCTTCTTGCTTTCTTCCCGTTCTTATTTATCTGATCCTTTGGGTGTTAGGGTTTTTCTTCTAAATCTCAATCGATCCCAAGACGGAACAACAGAAAAATAGGGTCTTTTCTCTTAACATAATCTGGGGTTTACGAAGAGCATAGGAAGATAATATGCCTTCGTTACCCTTCCAATCGATTTGCTCCCTTTGATCCCTTCCTTGACCCGTTTTCATGCCGGTTATGTTCATGTTCCAATCGTTTGAAAACATCTTCAAAAGAGCGATCGTCGTGGTAATCTTTGTTAACGTTTTCCCCCATCAATTTCAGTGGTTTTTATTCCATTTTTTTTCTCTTTTTCTTTCGTTTTCTCTCTTTTTCACCCTCTTCTTCTTCGCGATTCCTCTGCTTTACGTTGAGATAAATAGAATATAGTTTGTTTACAAGATCCGGGGAATTGGTTTCGATCGTGATCTGGGGTTTGCTCTTTCCGGAGGTTTAAAGGTCTTCAATAGATTCCGGTAGCCGCCTTTAAGAAAGGTATATTAACCTTGCTGATATATAGCTGATTAAGAAAGTTCCTCAATTTATTTTGCAGTATTTATGGGTTAGGGTTGATTATGATATGGATTATTGAATTTGTTGGCTAAATTTGTATGGATATTACTTATCAATGAATGAATCCCACGAATATTTTTGTGGCAAGTTTGTTATTTTCCAATTTATTTGTTTTTTTTAAATTTTGGACCGATCTTGATTAATTATATGAAAATTTTTCAGCTTGATTTAGAATTAATTTATGTATAATATGTCTTCGAAACCACCTATGATCTTTTAATGGCCCATGAGTTTTTCTTCTCAAGACTTGTTACAATGGACTGTCCATTTTTGCAGCTAAGTAGGACTTCTTTGAATTCACTGGTATCATAAAAGGACATGTTGGGTTCAAAGAGGTAGTTGATCCAGGTGATATTAAACAGGCAATAGATCATGCTTGCTTGAATGAATTTGATGGTGGCGATACGAGTGATGTGGACGATTTACTTGACCAAGGACATCAAAGCAAACCTCCAGTAAACTGTTTAGGCAAGTCTGCATCATTTCCTTCTTGTTTCTCGCCTCCCGAAGATGATGATGATGATATTGAAACTTCGTTGAGGTGGATATTCTGCGAGGACTCGGTTCAATCCCTGCTCTCGTTCAATTTCTTTGCCGGTAAGTGCCTTTTGTTCTTGGTAAATTCTAGAGTTTTGCTGATACATACTGTTTATAAGACTAGCATTGTCTTTTCGATGAATTGGATGAAGGCTCTTGTTAGCTTCTTCGAATTATAGTTGGTTCTTGGTTCATTTAAAGTTTCCTCCGTTCTGATGGCTTTATTCTTTAACAGACTCCATTAAAGCTAGTGTCTGCCCTTAAAGGCAGCCGTGGAAAAAGGTTTACCGACAAAGGAGCTGAGAGTGACATGGGCCTGATGTGTACGATCCTCTGCCGACATCCGTATTGCACACGGTCAGAGCCAAAAAGCAGAAGTCGAAGAAGATCTATGACAAGAAGAAACATGGAAAGAAATCGAAGAAGAGCAACAACTCCTCACGTGGAGGTAATGGAGGCAGTAAAAGCAACAAACTTCCGCAGAGGCAGCAGTGCCTCTGCGAGTTCGGATAGGTGGTATGACTATAAACCACTCGAGGTTGACACCTCCGGAAACCTTAAGTTTTCAAGGCTGGTAGTACAGACCCGTATTGTGGTACCAGTTTTCTGAAAACATCACCAACTACGATGCACTACTCTGTGGCGTAGGCTCTATGAGTAAGGCCTTGGTTTACTGATCCATGTTGATAAATAAAACATTTTTTACTACATTCTCTGGTATGAAAATTTACAGTTGCTTTTAATTGCGATTATGCTATGGTAATCTTATTATGTTGTGGATTTGAAATTTGTTAGTGTGGTGTCTCAGGCAGCATCTGAACTACATTTGCTGTGTAAAATATAATTATTACTAATACTCATTTAATGAGTTGCACAGTGAGATGTATTGAATCTTATGCTCTTATTATTTTACTATCTTTGTGAAATTACACGTGGAATCTGCCCTCTAAATCCATAAAAATGGTATCTAATTTCTGCTTTTGGTCTCTTTTAAAAAATGTAGC